TTTTTTTTTTTTTTTTTTTTTTTTTTTTTAAAACTGACTAATTAAAGCAATAACTTTTCTGCGTAGTTTTTTAATAATAAAAATGCAGTGTTTCCTGATAACATAAAATAAAAATAATGAAGATGATATTTATACTGATAAAAATAATAATAAAAATAATAGTAATAAAGAAAGTTAAATTAAAGTAATAGCATAATATTAAGCAAAGTTATTTATAAGGCGTTGATAGCTGACAAATGTCACGATGTAAATATTAAAATTAATTTAGTTACTGATTAAGTTGAAAAAGTAAAAAAAAAAAAATAATTAAACATGTTTAATGAAATAAAAATAAAAAAAAAAAAATAAAAAAACTACTAGAATGCTGAGTAAATAATATTTGTATAAATAAAAGAAGATTAATTTGTGAAAATGCATTGTACGTATGGGTGAATTTTTTTTCGATTCTTGTATATGTATACTTTGGAATATTGTAACGTTTTGTGAATACATAAAATAAAAAAAAAAGCCAAAAAAAAAAAATAAACGTAAACAAGCTAAAGCGAATAATTTATTTTTCTCAGGTTGTTTTGAAGTTTTATTGACTTATTCTCTGAGTTAAAGCTTTTTTGTGAGCAATAAATTCAGTAGCGAAAGGGAACAAGTTCAAATAAATATCTACGCAAATTATTAACTGTAACTGTGGTGTGCAATCTCTTGAGAAGAAGAAGTTTTTAGGAAGGAAGAAATGGGGTGTACTGAGATATAGACCGTTAGAATATGTATATTGCTTTTACCGCTTTAGTATTTCTAATGTTTTATGATTATGACTGGCGTTTATATCGCCACATGGCCTACGTTGGTTCCGGTTTCCAAAATATTCCTTCCCAGTTATCTAGTAGATATATATATTCACTTTTTAGTTGTTACTTATTGCTTATACTTGTGTAATTTATAGTGGAAAAATTTATTCTAATGTTCTTTTTTTTTATTTATGATATTTTTTAGTATATTTACATTTATTTGAGAGAAATTTAGAGATAGTTTTTGGTTTTTAATATGATTTGATAAAAAAAAAAAAAGAAATTCTTGGAAAATTTAATTGAAGCGAATTTTTTTTATTTGCTTATTTTTATTTATTGCTTGAGAAGTATATAATGTTAATTTTCGGAGAAATTAGTATGAAAATAATAACATTGGTATGAATTTAAAAAGTAAAGAAAATTATTTTGAAAATAAAAATTAATTTTTGGTAAAAAATTATTATCTTAATTTTTGATAAAAAATTATTATTTTAATTATTGATAAAAAATTAATAATATTATTTTGCTCAAAGAAGAAATAATATAATTTTAATTAAAGAAGAAATAAAAGAAAATTATTATCTTAATTTTTGATAAAAAATTATTATCTTAATTATTGATAAAAAATTAATAATATTATTTTGCTCAAAGAAGAAATAATACAATTTTTAATAAAATAATTAATAATATAATTTTAATCAAAAAAGAAATAGTCTCGATGAGTGTAACATCATAATGAGCTTATATCTTTAAAAATATCATAAGTTGACAAAATTCAATATAATTTCTTAATTATTGACATTTTTAAAGCTATAAGCTAACCCCGACATTACACTCATCGAGACCTTTCATTTGAGTACCCACATCAATTTTTCATACATTTTATATATTTATATATATTATGTATATGTATATGTATTAGGTATTTATGACAAATATATCAAAAATGTATGTGGGTACTCAAATGAAAGCTCTTGATCAGTGTAACATCAGAAAGAGTCATTATTTAATAAAGCAAAATTTATTTATTTATAGTTTACAAATTACGAAAGTCATACAGTACTAGTATATTAATTAAAAATAAAAATAATTTTTGTTACAGGTCAATTATATGGAATAGAAAAATTCTGGGCATTTATGAAGTACTACAAGCACGCTAAAGAATTATGCGTAGAGCCAAAATTACAAGAATATTTATCAAAGTTTAAGAGCATCGAAGACTTCCGCGTTGTTGAAGTAGGCGCAGATTGATCGTAATCTAAAAGCTACTGAAGTTTCAGAATCATTGTTTTTTTTTATACCATCTTTTACTTGTTATTTACAACTCTATATATATTTTTTTTAATTATTTTTCTTGCTCTTTAATATCTTTAGCTACCGCGAAAAAAAAGATTGTAATTAAAAAAAAAGGACGTAATTTAGTAATTAAAAATGTAGATTTTTACAAGTGAAAATATTTCTTGGATTTTATAATTTGACAGATTAAAATTGCTAATTGCCTTAATAATTAATTAATGGCCTGAAAGAGTGACATCACACCATCGATAATTATTTTATAATATTATTTCTATTCTGTCAAGTGATTTCTTACAAAACGAAAATCGTAGGGTAAGTGGCTGTGCATATAAATGTTTTTAATAAATTGTAATTAAAGAAAAAAAACTCAATTAACCAACTACACTTACACGATTTTAAATCTTAAAAAATAAATACAGCAT